AACTAACTAAATTGTTAATATGGGGACCCCAATCTAACTTCTGGGTAAAAATGAGACCTAAATTTTTTTGTTGTTGAACATAGTCCAACGAAATTTTGTTTACTTTCAAAGATGGTAAATTTATAGCTAGAGTGGTGCGAGAAAAGAGCATACCTACACATTGATTTATAAAATGATTGATGATAAACAAATGATTTATAAAATAAAATTTTAGAGTCTTAATTAGCCATTTATAAACTCATCAGTGCTTTACTCACTGACAGATTTTGAACTATATTAAACCTCTATCAGCAGTTGTAAGTTTAACAGGACAAGATTAGTTCTACTAGACTTGGGTATGAGTAGCGCAAAACAATTCAGAACTATAATACTCTCCTGATAAGTATCATATATAGCGTAAAAGAAAGTTCATGCCCATTCCAGGTCAGCCTATGCATCCCGAAAGTGGTATGATATTTCACAATAGAGGTAATTTAAACCTGCAAACGTTTTCGTTAAATTCCCTTGTCCAATAAGAACAATTTCAATACATCCTTTCTTTATTCTGAAGGATATGTTAGTCTCTCTCAAACAGAAATATTTTTGTCAAAAATCCTTTCTCGATAGATACTTTAGTCTAAGAACGGCTACTCTCGTCAAATTTTCAAAATTATCTGTTTCTCAAACGATCCTTCGTTTTATTCAACACAAATACAACACAAGACAGAGCAATAAAAAAGCCAAAAAGGTTTTATGATATACTCTCTCTAACAGGATACACAAAACACACATGATTATACGGTGATGTTATTGGAGTTATATTGTTTAATGTTGTTTTAATCAACCTCTTCGATTGTTGGTCCACTTGCTCCACTTTTACCTCCTCGACCACCTGCTGCTCCACCAGCTCCTGGAAATCCACCTGGCATACCTGAAACATATTAATAGGATTACAAGTTAGTTGTCAGCAGCATATTGTAATATTTATTTACCTCCTTGTCCTCCGGCCGCTCCACCTTCACCTTGATATAACTTTGTCATTATGGGCGAACAGATTTTTTCCACTTCTTTTAATTTATGTTCAAATTCTTCCTTTTCAGCTAATTGATTTGCTTCCAACCATTTTAATGCCTCATCAATGGTTGTTGTTACTTTTGTTTTATCATCAGCACTAAGTCTTTCCGCAAGTTGATTATCATTCATGGTAGTTTTCATATTGAAACAATATGATTCCAAACTATTTTTCGCTGTAACACGATCGCGTTGTGTATCATCTTCCTTTTTATATTTTTCAGCATCAGACACCATACGTTCAATCTCATCTTTTGATAAACGACCTTTATCATTGGTAATGGTAATTTTATTTTCACGTCCAGTCGATTTATCTACAGCAGATACATTTAATATACCATTGGCATCAATATCAAATGTAACTTCAATTTGTGGAACACCACCTAGAAAAAATGAAATGAAGAAACGACAGTCAGAATCGAGAGAATACATTCATGGCTGAGAAACGCTTTATGTGTGAATATAGAATGACTAATCTTATCGCTGATTGAGTTTTTTGTATCTCAGTGAAACTCTAGTAATAACGTCAAATATGCAAAATTTGACTTACGTGGTGCAGGTGGAATACCGGATAATTCGAAATTTCCAAGTAAATGATTGTCTTTTGTCATAGCTCGTTCACCTTCGTATGTTTTGATATCAACACCTGGTTGATTATCAGAATAAGTGGTAAATGTTTGAGTTTGTTTTGTTGGAATTGTTGTATTTCGTTTAATTAATGGCGTCATCACACCACCAGCAGTTTCAATACCCAACGATAATGGCGCAACATCTAATAATAAAACATCTTTGACTTCCTCTGATTTATCACCAGTTAATATAGCTGCTTGGACAGCAGCGCCATAGGCAACGGCTTCATCCTGCATTCAAAAAGAGAATCATAGAAACAAAATAAAGAGCTTCCTGAGCATACTTACGGGGTTGATTGACTTATTCAATTCTTTACCATTAAAAAAATCTTGTAACAACTTTTGTACTTTTGGAATACGTGTCGAACCACCGACCAACACGATTTCATGTATATGTGATTTATCCTATTAACGAGAGTAAAAGATAGTCATTATTAACTGTATTACTATAACATTTTTAAGTTTGTAACTTACCATCTTAGCATCACGTAAAGATTTTTCAACTGGTTCTAATGTTGAGCGAAATAAATCAGCATTTAATTCTTCAAATCGAGCACGTGTGATGTTAGAATAGAAGTCAATGCCTTCATGTAAGGAATCGATTTCGATTGATGCTTGAGAAGCTGACGATAATGTTCTCTAAAAATTAAGAAAACAAAACTAGATGCCAACTATGCTAGACTGATCTATGCTTAACTAGACTGATAAGTAGCACGTGACTACTTAGTGAATCACTCTACACTATCCATACTGAATGTATATGAAGTGTCACGTGACAATTAATTATCTCATAGAAAAGTTATTGAAAATATGCTCAACTTTTGAGACTCATTACTTAATAATTAAAACATACATCAAAAAAATAACTTTAGCTGTTTCATCTACCTCTCTGGCACTCTCGAATGATCTTTTTCCCAAATCTGTATGATTAGTGATAGCTGTGAACGAGTGGCTGAATCGAAGCAGAAAGTAGAGTGTGGAAGAAAGAAGAAGGAACTAGATGCCAACTATGCTGCGCATAGATTGGAAAGTCGACAGGGTGAAACAGTAAACAGACGAAATTAGAGGATTCAGAAACTCAAAACAGTCTGACTACTTTTCAAGAAGAATCCCTATATTCCTATCTCAGTTGATTCATTATCGTGCCATATGTATAGTATAGCTTACATCATATCCAGTACTGTAGCATATATTCACTATGAAGTGACACTAATTATATGATAACTAAGCAAATATCCGACAACTAACTTCAGATGTGTACAGGTCTACAATCCCTGTACTTTCGATTGATCTTTTTCGCAAACTTGTACGATCAGAAATAACTGAGAACGAGTGTCTGACTCGAACGAGAAACACAGTGTGAAAAGAAAGAAGAATTTTTCTGAGTGAAAAGCAATAACTCTCCTTGAGTTTCACTCAGTCGACTTAAAGAAGAATTTTTTGTAGTGAAACAGAATAAGCCTCTCCGAGTTTCACTCGGTCGGCTTAAAGAAAGAAGAATTTTGCTACGCAACGCTTGAAACTAAACAGAATAAGTCTCCCTATCGTTTCACTCAGTCGACTTAATTAAAACTCTTGCAATACGAGCAGGCTAATAAGAATGGATATTACTACCAATACCTATTTTTTGAATTAACTTGGTTTAGCTATTCTTACACTGTCGTTACTCATTGTTTTTTGAGATTAAAACCTTTCACGTACTTAATTACGAATAAATCGCATGTATGTAACGCAATTGTTCTCTCATGAAGTCCCTGAAGTCTTACTGAGAAAAGCTAGATTGTACTTTTTGGAGAAAAACTGTAAAGTCCCATCATTATGTTGAAAAACATTTTTTTCTTCCAACTTATATTCTACTCCTGAAGAGGGAGCATTTTTTTGCTAGTTACAAAGAATATCTTCTCTTCAAGTTAGTACACGTTATAAAAATGTATATTTACCTTCGCACGTTCACATGCTGTTCTTAAACGACGAAGTCCACGTTTATTTTGCGCTAAATCTTTGTTATTTTTTCGTTTAAATTCTTGAACAAAATGTGAAACCATTCGATTGTCAAAATCTTCTCCTACAAATAATAGAAAATAACTATAGTACTAGATATATCGTTTGCTGATATCATCTCAACTAATTTTTTCGAGGAAAACGAGTTAATAAGTTAACGGAAGAAAAATGATAATAATAAACTTGATGAATATTGTGTAATAAGCTGCTTAAATTTGAATGCGTTAGGTAACCAAGTAAGGAACAAACATACCTCCTAAATGTGTATCTCCAGCTGTTGATTTTACTTCAAATATTCCTTCTTCAATTTTCAATACACTAACATCGAAAGTACCACCACCCAAATCAAAAATCAAAATGTTTCGTTCACCAGTAACTTTTTTATCCAAACCATAGGCAATAGCGGCAGCTGTTGGCTCGTTAATAATACGAAGAACATTGAGACCTGCAATAACTCCAGCATCTTTTGTTGCTTGACGTTGTGAATCATTGAAATAAGCTGGTACTGTAACTACCGCATCACTAATTTTTTTTCCTTAAACAAAAAATTCAAATTAAACTACAATTACAAGAATATTAACCAGTATATACCTAAATAAGCTTCAGCTGTTTCTTTCATTTTTGTTAAAACCATCGATGATATTTCTTCTGGTGTAAATGTTTTTGTTTCATTTTTATATTCAACTTGAATTTTTGGTTTGCCACCTAGAAAAAAGTTTATTAGTACCTAAAATCTTTGCTTATCTACAGCTAAGCTAAATCAAGAGTAACCTACATAAATTTCTTCACTGAAGACCAAAGTATCAATATATGCATTACCTTCTTGAACAACTTTGAATGGCCAATGTTTCATATCAGCTTGTACTGTTGGATCATCGAATTTTCTACCAATCAACCGTTTGGCATCAAAAATAGTATTGTTTGGATTCATTGCTACTTGATTTTTGGCTGCATCACCAATTAATCGTTCACTATCCGTGAATGCAACATAACTCGGGGTTGTTCGATTGCCCTGATCATTAGCTATAATTTCTACTTTTCCATGTTGAAAAATACCCACACACGAATACGTAGTTCCTAGATCGATTCCAATTGCTTTGGCCATTGTTCTTTATTGAGGTGTTTTTTGTTATTAAATAATAGTAATTAAGAAAAGAAGGTTGAAAGGTAGAAGGCAAAATACAATATGTGGTTGTTTTAACTGTTTATTAGTGAAATTGTTGATGTTCTGTTTGTCCTTTATATGAAATATATTTATTCTTTCTCTTCTCGTATGTTCGACAATATTACAAATCTTTCTCTGTAAAGAAATAGTGAGAAATTGTGTGAATATGATTCACTTTTCTTACTTATCTTCCTTTTTTTAAGCTATTTACATTTTAATTTCCTCCACTATACTAGTCAACATTCAGACCTATACGTCTTAACTGATTCTAATTCCTTGACAACAGCAAGTGGATTCAGGTCTGAATTTTCTGCACAAATCTTCACGAATTTTTGTATTTTGTATCTGTCTGATTTTGAGCTGAATTGTCTGAACATTTAATCAGTCAGTTTCAGTCAAGAATCTCGGTGTTGTAATTCTTTGTGTTATGTCGGCATGGAATCATGGAGGTGCGTCTACATGACTTTCGCCAACTAGACATTCGCCAGTTGTCGAAGGTCTACTTGACTTTCGTCAATTGGCAAGCGACCATGGGCTATATTGGTGGAAGTTCAGTGTACTTTCGCCAATTGGCAAAAGTACACTAATGGTATTGGTGAAGGTCCACTTGGCTGTCGCCAATTATGGCTTAAGTTGTATTGATAAGATACAAGTCACATCTTTTTTTAAGCAACGTTTAAAAAATACAGCTTGCATTGAGAGACAATATAGCTGAATTACTGGCAAATTATCATGGATTGGTGAAAGTTCAGTGTGCTTTCGCCAATTGGCGAAAATACATTGGTGGCGTGATGATGTCATTAATTAAACGAAATACAACACAACAAACTCATACATTTACCACTTATTCTGATAATCAACCAGGTGTTGATATCAACGTATTCGAAAGTGAATGAGGCATGACAAAAGACAATCATTTACTTGGAGAAAGTACACTGTATTTTCGCAGTTTGGCGAAAGTCACATTGGCGTACTTCTCGATTCCCGTCGGTACAAATCGCATCGTGTCATTGCTTGTTGTCACTTCTTCTGAACGTCGTTTGGTTAAACTTCGTTCACTACAGTTAAAAAAATATAAGATTTTAAGAACGATGTCAGCTACAGATTTGAAAGAATATTCATACGGATACCATTTACCGGAACAAGATCGTATCTGTCTCTCATAAGATATATAACTAGCAAACAGTAAAAACTGTTGAAAATCAGAACAAATCCCAGTTAAAGGTACAAAATTCTCGTCTCCTGTATCTATTGTTACTCTTCTTTTTCCGTTTAGATAATTAATGGAAGGGACATGAAAGTAGCAAAACTTGAAAATTCGTAGACGGGTACAGCACGAAACATAGTCCGTGCTGCTTATGATCCAGACGGTAGTGGTTTTGATCTGAAGGAATATGAGTTCGATATTTTGTTAGGTAACTAACTTCATTTTCTATTTCACTGAATGACAACGTTTTCAGTTGTAGATACCATGGCATTTTTACATCGACAACCCTTCATTGAAGTGTTTGCTAAACAAAAACTTATCCGTGAATCGATTAATCAAATGAAATACGATAACAATTAAAGAAAACCAACGTCAATAGCAACACTACGGATCAAACGAAGACTAATGACAACAACAGCAAGATCAATAGAAGGTACACAAAGCACAGAACGATGATGTTTACTGTGAAGTTTATGATGAACAACTAAGTGGATGAACAGTCATGGAATTTATTGATTTCACTTTTTCATGGTCACTTTTCTTTTTATTTGTCTCTCGTCATTCTTTCCAGTATCGCACATTTACCTCAATTCTATATAGCTTTTAAAGTATGTACACATAAACTTAAGTTTACGACATTATCAGTTGTTTTCGTTAATTATATTTTTCAGCTTTTTCCATAAAGTTGTCATTTTCTGTTAATTTAACTACAAAACACAGCACAGCAACAAACTCTCTGAATCAACTCAGAAATGACAAAAATTAGGAACAGGTCTGGGAAAACGAGAATTATAATCAGAGCTAAAGTGTCAAGAATCAGCTCGGACATTCGCTAATCTGATTCAAGACTGAAAAGACAAGACCACAGAATCAGCTCTGATCTATACATCTGATTCTCAATCAGTGTATCTCTCAATATGATTGTTTTATAAAAAGAAAAAGAAAAGAAAAAAATTTACTTATTAAGAGCAAAGAAAAAATGAAAAATATACGTGATGATGAAACTATAGCTTTAATTTTAGGGTTATAGCGGTAGCAATAATGGTAACAAATCAAGTATTAACGAAGCAGAATAATCAATTTAACATCACCTTTGTGGTGCACGTCCACAGTACAGAAATTGACTATCAACAAGATGTACCCTCCAAAATGAAGTCAGATTAATTTGTCGGAAAAAATCCGATGTTGATCTTAAGGTTTAATGAAACTTTGTCAATACCTACTCACTCTCGAGTAAAATATAATTCAAACTTCACCTTTAATTGTTTTTTTCTTTCCGAAATAATATTATAGACAATTAGAACTGACCAAATCATTTTTCGACTTTTTCAGATTTCTGTTCGTGTCAAATTAAGTATAATACAGCCGAAGAAAACAGCTTTTACACAGGCGACTATGTACGCCATCTATTTTTTGTGTTTTCAGACATTTAACGGTAATAAGAAGTCAGAAGAGGAAAAAAGATTCCAGGATCTAAATTTTTTCTATACGTTTCAAGAGAGGGAACCGAACATGAAACGTTTTTCGTTAGTCCACAAATTTAGTAAATTTACTAAGGTGCCGGAAATTCAAGGTTCGAGTAAGATTTTTATTCTATTTATTTATGCATGATTAGATAGAGCGCATCGAGCTGACGAGGGAACCGTCCCAAGTGATCCATCTCGTTTTCAACATATTTTGCTGATATGTAGAACCTATTCCATGAGAAACAGCCTAAAAGGATTTGGGTCCATGTTGCGTTCTTCAAGAGTTATTGAATTTTTCCGTTTCGATGAGTAAGGCGATTCCTAACATTACATTTATTATAACCCAGTCAAAACAGCGAATTAAGAGATCAAACTTTTTCTTATCACAGGCTAGTCATCTACAGATAATCTCCAAAGATTCCGACTTTTAGCTGTTACATAGAATGAATAATCGAATTTTTACGTTTTTGCCTAAGCAATTCGTCTTTTCTCATTTTTATTTCTTGATTTCACGTTTATTTTACACAGTAGGCATCTAGCAAAACTGGAAATATCTCTTCTAGCACAAGATATGCGTGTGCAAACAAACATTGCGATATATGTGACCTAAAAGAACGAGGCAGAAAAAAGAAGTTTAAAAAGGTGTTGCAAGAATAAAATGGTGAATCACAACAACGCTGCACTGACTTTTCCTCGTTCTTCACACGGCAAATGAGAAAAAGATAATATCTATCGTTGATAGATATCTTGAAGATGTACGTCGCGCATGTGCGAGAAGAGATATCTCCAATTTTCCTAGATGCTTTGTAAAAGATTCTGCGCAATAACACAGATCTATAGTAGACTCTGACATGTTGATCTATTTTCTCATTTTACTTATACTTAAGTACGAAAAAACGGACCTTGTACTTTTACTTAAAATATGAAACAATTTCCTTTTGTGTATTTAAAGTATGCTTCTGATCTCTTGAAATTTTGGTAGTTACTCATAATGCTAAAAATCAAATAGCTTGAATAACTCAAAATAAGACATATAGACAATAAACATACAGAGTATGATAAAATACACTTATGATAATTGCTTTAGCATTATTAGTAACTACATAAAGAACATACACAAAAGGAAATGTGGCAAAATTCATCCTGCTAAACGCATTAGAAATTAACTCACACAATGGAAGTTGCTAATTAACTGCTTCCTAGAATATTCTATTTAGATCTTCTTTCGTATTATCTATTAAACTACCAATATCTTTTCCAGACCGCCCAGGCAAACCTTTTTCTGGTAAAATAACGCGTTGGTGTGAGTTAATTTCTAATGCGTTTAGCAGGATGAATTTTGACCGTTGAAACGCGTCAGTTTGTGACACACATCAACGCGTTGATTTTCAACGATTTTTTTACTTGAAATATGAAACAATTTCCTTTTGTGTATTAAAAGTATGTTTCTGATTTCTTGAAATTTTGGTAGTTACTAATAATGCTAAAGCAATTATCATAAGTGTATTTTATCATACTCTGTATCTTTATTGTCTATATGTCTTATTTTGAGTTATTCAAGCTATTTGATTTTTAGCATTATGAGTAACTACCAAAATTTCAAGAGATCAGAAGCATACTTT